CATTTTGTACAAACCCGCCCCGGTATACCATGGTATAAGCGTGCACAGGTTTTTAATTATTATCATTAACATCTTTAATAACTATTTGTTCTCTTACACTCTCATTGAACTAAGGTAGTCAAACATTCATTTTATTGGGTAAATCTTAAAGTTATTGCAGTGTCTTAAATAAGGCCACAATTGGTCCTGACTACATTTTGGTTATTCTGAACATTTACTATTAATAATAATAGATATTGTGGTATTTTACATATTGCCTTATATTGAATTTGGCCTTTGCAGTTTTTGAACATATACCCCCCCCCCCCCCCATTTTATTAAATAGATTTATTATCATTGTTTTTTAGATTGAACTCTTATTTTATCCCTACTGACCATCAAACCAAACCAAGGTAAAGTTGTTTTATTTTGAAGGATAGGTACATTGGGTAGGTACATTGTTATAGGAATTTTGGAGATCAGGACTTTCTGATTTTAAGTCGCGGATTGTATTTTATAAATCAGTGGCGCCCTATCAAGCTAACTTTTATTATTGAACCTACTCCCACACCACTGAGTAGCCGCGAGCACTTTGTTGCGCTGGCCGCATTCCTAAAGAGTGACTTACTGTACCTAGGCCTATTGTGGTTTATTAATTTAAATTTTGTATTCAAACAGTTTAAAGGGTAATTTTACGCGCATCAAAACTACCAAAAATACCTAAAGCGAAACTAGAAAAAGAAAATAGAAATCCAGTTTTTTTTTTTTTTTGTGGGGCAAATTAAAGTTTAATATTTTTTATAGGTATTTTTGTAATGAACTATTTTATGTAAAAAACGATTTCATCCATCCTCGGTGCTGTGATTGAACAGATATTTTTGAGCCGCAATTCAGATATCTCGAGAAACAGTAAAGTTTCTGCAAGAGTTTCGTTTTTATTAAACCCAGCAATTGGCCTCCAAACAGTCCAGATTTCAATCCGGCCGACTATTGTGTATGAAGGCTTTCAGAAAACATAACACAAAAATCAATTAAAAGATCGGATTGAGTAGATTTCGCCGAAGGCTGCAGCAGTTGCCAGTCGTGTCAGACATATTCACATATAATTCTTGTAGTATTCTGCCTTTCTAATATTAGTTGTGTTAATTACAGCAGAGTAACGGGTAAAACGTATCAAGAGTGCTTTGATTACGAAAACGTACGTCGCATTTTTGTTTCAGTCAGGATATTTGACATGCCATTCTGACACAAAATTCAATGACGAAATTAAAGGAAAATATTGTTAAGACATCGGTACGTTTAAAAAAATCATAGCCATGTTTGATACTGGCGTGAACTTGGCAGCCAAAAGTTAGCAGCCTGAATCCCGAGTCTACCCGAACAATCAGTGGCGTTGTCGTTTATGTTTTTACTCTCTCTACCCCCCCCCTCGTGGATCCGCCACTGATTATCGGTAAGTAGTGTAAGATGGCCGGTTCTACGCCCTCCGTCCTCCGGAGGAAATGACGTCACCTGTCACCTGTCAAATATCAGTCACCTGTCAAAGTCATCTGTCAAACTGACCTGTCAAGGTCAAATGTCAGTCATCTGTCAATGTCATCTACTCTAACCTACTCCAACCTACTCTAACCTACTCTCACCTACTCCAACCTGCTGGAACCTACTACAACCTACCCGAACTACTCTAACCTACTCCAATTTACCCGAACTGCTCAAACCTACTCTAACCTACTCCAACTGCTCCAAGTTTCCTGAACTAACCTAACCCAACCTGCTCGAACTACTCGAACCGTGTCAGCGGTCGGGGCCCCATTCCAGTGACGTCAGAAAGGGGCCACTTGCCTGTCCCTCCTGCTAGACCGGACGTGCCCTATTTCGTGAGCCTCAATTTTAGTGAGCCCCATTTTAATTTTGGCGGGTAGATGACATGTATTATTGGCCCCATTCCAGTGACATCAGAAAGGGACCACTTGCTTGTCCCTGCTGCTAGACCTGTATCACCGGGCCTGTGCCCCATTTTGTGAGCCCCATTCCGTGAGCCCCAATTTCCGTGAACGCCATTTTAATTTTGGCGGGTAGTTGACAGGTATTATGGGCCCCATTCCAGTGACATCAGAAAAAGGCCACTTGCTTGTCCCTGCTGCTAGACCTGTGTCACCGGGCCTGTACCCCAATTTGTGCTGAGCTGGCTCACGTACCTGGCGATGGGAAACATCTTGCGTCGGCAGATTCTACGTCCTCCGTTCTCCGGAGGACTCGCGCCAGAAATAATAAACTAGCACATTCCCACTGCGCCTGGTTCGTTTCCGAAAATCATCAGTGTGTGTGTGTGTGTATGTGTCGCATTAACTGTGGCAACTTGTGTGTGCACTAAACTCAATTGTGGCGTACGCTTTAGTTGTGGCAACACACCTTCGGATGTCACAGCAAAAGTTGCCATAAATTGGCAATAGAATAGTTTTTGTGTGTGGCAGTTGGATCATACCGCGCCTATAAGGATAGTGCGCAGAATACCCGTTAGAGAGAGGCGCCACTATATGAAACATGGCGGGAACTCAATCAGTGTGTAGTACGCCACAATCGCGGCTCTAATTTGCATACGCTGAACGAAATTGTGACTACATTTTCTGAATTAGGAAGTGGCGCCCTCTGGTCACACATACTTTACAATAATTCGTAGTTGAGAAGAATGATTATTTGTGTCTAGAACGCCACAGTAACTACACGTGTTTTGCCACTTTTTCGGTAAGTTCGCATTTTTTAATAGTTTTTGAAGTTATACTTCTTTAGCGGGGGTTCGGGTGACAATATGTGATACTCAACCTGTCAAATGTAATTTTTGACAGATCTCAGCTGTCAAAATATTATTAAAGGACGTCACAGGCCTGCCCCCATCTTTAGAACGGTTAGAGGAAGATTAATGTCTGTATGCACGAAAGCCTTTAACTCAGGATTATTATTTGATCATGATTATATCGTTATTTTTAATGCACCATTCTTTTTCAATGCTAAATCACAAATTAATTTGGTACATAGTCTGCCTGGATGACCAATTATTCATAATTAACTAGCCCCGATTAATTTTGCTGTGATTTTGCTTACACTTTAAGTTCGGGTGATAATATTATTATATACAATACTCAACAGCTGTCAAATGTCATTTCTGACAGATGTCAGCTGTCAAATAATAACAAAAGGGCGTAATAGGCCTGCCCGGTGTTGTGAAGCTTTATTATTGACTTTACCTAGGTAGAAAATTTGACATTGTTAACAGTTAATGCACTGTTTAACTGTCAACACAGTCAAATTTTCTCTCGAGAGAAAGTCAAGAATAAGGCCTCAGGGTCCCTATTCTTGAAACAGGGGAGCAGCACTCCCAGGAGAACGAGTGTTCCCTCTTTTTTACTTATATTATCATTTGCATATCATTGAGAAAGACGGAATACTCGTTCTCCTGGGAACGTTGCTCCCCTGTTTCAAGAATAAGGACCCTGATGGAAAGAGGAATGGTTGGACGGAAAAAATCGACAGCTGTCAACTGTCAAATGTGACAGGTGCAGATTTTTGAACCATTTCTTCGCAACGAATTCTGCTGATATTTTGCAAACACTTCAAGTTCGGGTGGTAATACAAAATGCAATACTCAACAGCTGTCACATGTCATTTCTGACAGATGTTAGCTGTCAAATAATGACAAAAGGGAGTCATATGCCTGCCCGGTGTTCAGAACGGATAGGAGATGTGTTAGACTTTGGAAAAAATTGACAGCTGACAACTGTCAAATGTGACAGGTGCAGATTTTTGAACCATTTCTTCGCAACGAATTCTGCTGATATTTTGCAAACACTTCCAGTTCGGGTGCTAATAAAAAATGCAATACTCAACAGCTGTCACATGTCATTTCTGACAGATGTCAGCTGTCAAATAATGACAAAAAGGAGTCATATGCCTGCTTGGTGTTCAGAACGGATAGAGGATGGGATTAGATGTTGGAAAAAATTGACAGCTGTCAACTGTCAAATGTGACAGGTGCAGATTTTTGAACTATTTCTTCGCCAGGGATTCTGTTGGAATTCCGACACACTCTAAGTTGGGTTGATAATACGATATGCAATACTCAACAGCTGTCAAATGTCATATCTGACAGATGCCAGCTGTCAAGTAATGACCAAAGGCGTAATAGGCCTGTCCGGTGTTCAGAACGGAAAGGGGATAGGTTGGCCTTCAGAAAAAATTGACAGCTGTCAACTGTCAAATGTGACAGGAGCAGATTCTTTAACCATTTCTTCGCAACGGATTCTGCTGATATTTTGCAAACACTTCAAGTTCGGGGGGTAATACGATATGCAATACTCAAAAGCTGCCAAATGTCATTTCTGACAAATTTCAGCTGTCAAATAATGACAAAAGGGATTCGTATGCCTGTTCGGTGTTCATAACAGATAGGAGATGAGTTGGTCGGTGAAAAAAATTGACAGCTGCTGTCAAATGTGACAGGTGCAGCTTTTGAACTATTTCTTTGCAACGGATTTTGCTGAAATTTTACATACACTCTAGGTTCGGTAGATGGTACAGTATGCATTACTCAACAGCTGTCAAATGTGATTTCTGACAGATGTCAGCTGTCAAAATATGACAAAAGAGCGTCCTATGCCTGCTTGGTGTTCAGAACGCATAGGAGGCAGGTTAGTCGTTGGAAAAAATTGACAGCTGTCAAATGTCAAATGTGACAGGTGCAGCTTTCGAACCATTTCTTCGAAACGGATTTTGCTGAAATTTTGAATACACTTTAAGTTCGGGTGACAATACAATATGCAATACTCAACAGATGTCATATGTCATTTCTGACAGATGTCAGCAGTGAAAATATGACAATTAGGTTAGACGTTGAAAAAAATTGACAGGCGTCAACTGTCAAATGTGACAGATGGAGACGTATACTAGGGAAGTATAACTTCTGCTGTGTGGCTCCTGCACACTTTCTCTTTTTCATTACTATGCTTAACTGAATGTTTTAGGAAATGGAAACCAGAGGGAAAAAAATATTACGGAAGCTGCAAGCGGCGGATAATAGGGAAGTAAGCAGTCGTTTGTTAAATTTGCCGCCCTATGAAACAACAAAAGGTCTGGGAGAAGAATATAGAGAACTGGCAATTAAAAGTGAGTACCTACCGTTTATTACCTACGTATCTTAACAAAGTGAATATTTTCTCGATCATAATTTTCATTGGGATTTTTCTAACTGGCACATGATAGGTTTATCCAACAAATAAAATGCAATAAGAGATAAAATAAAATAGGAATCAGACTTAAGAGTTATTACATAATATGCGACAGTTCTCGAAAAAAATTAAAATAAAATAAAATAAATAAGTTTCTTCAATTTTCTTATTTCATTTTATGTGTACCTAATCAATACTGCGCTTGCCAAAAATTTGGACATTTTGTAATTTTGTTGGATTATGTTAAGTTTTTGCTGAAATTACATATTATTAAAAGTGTCTTTTGATTACCCAAGAACGTAATAGGTAACCTCGTGGTAACAACCCATTATTTTAAACTTAAATGCTTAAAATAAAATCTGAGAAATACACTTTTATGAAAACACGGAGTCCGAAACACCGTAAATAGGTTTTTGTTGTTCACCTCACATTAAAACAAACAAAGCCGCTTGAGCAATGGAGCAAATCCTATTCGTTGTTCTCATTTTTATTTTATTTTATTTGATTGGTGAACCCACCATCAGTGTGTGGAAGACAAATTACTTTTTCTACAAATGTCACTAAAAGTGTCATTTTTAAGGGATGCTGTCAGTGTCTTAAATGCCATTTTATGACACTGGTGTTAAAAGTGATTACTTTTAGCACTAGTGCTAAAAGTAATCACTTTTAGCACTTATATTATAAATAACTATTATGTCATAAAATATCTATACTTTTAAATTTATTTGTCCATTTGTCTTGTTCGACTTGTAGTGTTCGTGTTATAGGCCGGCGTTTCATGTAGAATTAACCCCTAGTTACCTACAAAATTGTAGGGAATTTGAAAAGTTTTTAATTACATCGGCAAGTCACGTATTTTGACGACTGTCTAATGTCTGATAAATTCGCTTGAGCTAAAGCTAACTATTTATTAATTACAAAATCCAACATTACAAATTACCAACTCTGTAATTAATAAATAAATCGGCTTTAAATATTTATTAATTACAAAATTGGACAGTTTCGAAAAACACTGGTCCGCGTATACCTTTTTCTTTTGATTATGGAATTCAGCGCTTTTCACGATTTATTGCCATCAACTCAGCCTTGGTAATTGGACAGACTGAACCTTGTATGATGATGACAATGCGAGTCAAATTGCAAGCTTATATCTTTTCACATGCGATATCGCAAATAATTAAAATCTTTAATGGCCGTTTGCACCGACTATTTTGAGAAAGCCTTAACGACAAGTATTCCTAGAAATGACATTTTAACATGGGAAAATGTCACTTTATGGGATCCTTATCGATAAGGCTCCCTTAAGATGGTCGGTGCAAACGGCCATAACACTGTTGGATTACCTGTCCAATGAAATCTATAAAATTTAATCATCACTGTGTCATGTAGAAAAACTTAAAGCTTGGCGTCAATTTGAAACACATCGTCATCATTAAACGAGTCTGTCAAATTTCCAAGGCTAAGTTGATATGCCAATAGTTCGAGAACAGCATATTATATCCTGTTCACAATCCGATGTTCACAGGTGCAGGTAAATTTATCACCTTTTCCTATCAAATAGCATTGACAGGTGATAAATTCTACCTGTACCTGTGGACATCGGATTGTGAACGCATAATATTTTACGTAAATACCTATCTAATGTTTGACATGCATAATTATTTTCTCCACATTTCACTCCAGGCATGACACCGGATATATTTATAGCTATTTCTTTGAAAAATCAATGTATCTGCATGAACCGAATAAAAAAAATTACCTATCGATTGTATCGGAAACAAAATAAGAAGCCCAATGTGAACTGGGCCACATTTGATGAATAATGATTTGTGAATTTTTTTATTCAGATTTCCAAGATGCATCTATTTCTTCATCAACTGATAAACCCATGGGAACTATTAGTCCAGAAATTCCACTCACACCAGCAATAAACATTGATTCTGAACAAGTCGCAAATTTACAAAATGCCAGAGTTTATTTTGAAGGCAAAGAAGATTTATTATCGGAAGCCGAACCCTTTGGTTCTGGCGGCTCATCTGAATCTGAATACTTACCTAGTGGTGTATCCCGCGACAGTTCGATAGTACCGGACACTCCTGACAATAGGATATTGAGTGATACTGAATATGATCAAGTTTCACTAAGTCTATCCGTTGACCATTCTGTAAACTTGACTCCAATGGAAACCGACGAGGAAACTGACAACCTTTCCTCCGGTGTAACTAGTTCCATTAATGAAACTAAGACAAAAGAACAGGTTGAAATAAAATGTGCCAAGAAAACATCTGGTGGTAAGAGAATCCGAGATAAGGACCATAGTTGTTATTTTTGTCACAAGTTGCTTCGTAATTTAGCAAGACATTTTGAAAGGGCTCATTCTACTGAAATGGAAGTTGCCAGAATATTGACTATGCCGAAAAATTCCAAAAGACGACGAGAAGCCTTTAATGCCCTGACGCGAAATGGTGACTTTTATCATATTTGTGACGTGCTCCTACTACAAAAAGGGGAACTCATCTTAACTCGCCGACCAAGCGAAGAAGAAAGAAAGTTCCTGAAATACTCTGATTACGGCCCTTGTCCCGAATGTCTGGGATTTATGATTAAAAGGCATCTATGGCACCATCTTAAATACTCATGCACCTGCATGAGAGACAAGAATAATTTAACTTCTGAAAAATCATCGCGACTACCAGCTGCTGAGAGTACCTCTTTACTAAATGGAATATATGGTCACAACCTGACAGAAGATTTTCGTTCTAATATTTTTTGACAAATTGCGAAATGATGAGGTTTCTGAAATATGTCGCAAAGATGATCTTATTTCACGATTTGGAGCATTTCTCTATGAAAAATATAGTAGCACTCAAGCAGAACTAATTAGGCAATCTATGCGACAACTTGGAAGGTTAACAATAGAGCTGGCTAAAAAAAATACCGATGTGCACAGGCTAGTTGACGCTCTCACCCCTGAAAAGTTTGATGCTGTTGTCTTAGCGACAAAGTCCCTCTGTGTTACATCCAACGAAATTGCGAAAAGGACTGAATTTGGAATTCCGTCTTTAGCGTTGAAAATTGGGTATTCTATTAGAAAGTGCATTGGGATTGAAAGAGGTTTATGTTTGCGAAAGGGCGACCTAAGAAGAAATGACACATTGTTGGGTTTCTTGTCAATTTTGGATCTAGAACGGAGCATTAGAATTTCATCCAATGCATTAGCTACTTTGCAGTCTAGAAAACTCAATTCTGTTGATTTACTTCCAATTACTGGAGATTTAATCAAATTAAGCAAATTTTTAGAATTCATGATCCAAGAAACAAAGAATGATTTGGAAAGAGACCACAGTTTTCAAAATTGGAGTAAATTAGCATCACTTACCTTAAGTCGCATAATTCTTTTCAATAAAAGACGTTCAGGAGAAGCTGCAAGGATGAAAATTGAACAGTACACGAAAAGACCTTTATGGCAAAGTCAAGGTGTAGCAGAAATTAAAGAGTCTTTGACGGAGTTTGAAATCAAGTTAGCAAATGCTCTAACAGTAGTAGAAATAATAGGAAAGCGAGGAAAGAAAGTACCAATCTTGCTCACTAAAGAAATGAAGGAATCTGTCGATTTTCTACTGGCAACTCGCATAGCAGTGGGAGTACCCGAAGGGAATCCTTCCGTGTTTGCACGGCTAGGTGATTTGAATTCCTATATGAGAGGCCACGATTGTATTAAAAAATGGTGTTCTGAAGCTAACTTGGAGTCGCCAGACACAATAACAAGCACAAAATTACGAAAGTACGTAGCTACAGTTTGCCAAGTCTTGAATCTTAAAGAAAATGAGTGTGATTGACTTGCGCGACATCTGGGCCACGATATAAGGGTCCATCGTGAATTTTATCGCCTCCATGAGAATACAGTTGAGCTAACCAAAGTTAGCAGGTTGCTTTTAGCTGTGGACCAGGGGAAAGCACATACATTTGCTGGAAAATCTTTGGAGGATATTGAAGTAAAAGGTGGGGCAAATAATAGTTATTTTTATCGTCAATTTGTTGAGGTTGATTAAAGTTAAAAATGTTTGGATATTACGCACATATTTGAGAATGCATATAATCAACACTCACAGTACAGGGTGCTTTCAAATTAGAGCAGAACGAAAAATAAATAGACTTATTGAATAACTATCTAAATATAATATTTTCCTAGATTTACCACCCATAGAAGATGACCCTCCTGATCAAAATGATGACGAACCTAGCGATGGAGAAGATGGAGAAACTCCAGGGGACAGTGCTGATATTCCAGTTTGCAGTACTGCGAACGGAGAGGGTGAATTAACATCTGAACATTGGAAAAAAGAAACAAAAATCTAGTACGTAAATATATTATTCTATTCACTTAGAGTGGGCAACAAAGCCTGATTTTTGGCCAAACTATAGAATAGATTATTAGAAGCTGTCTTTACTGTAATATATACAATAATTTGAAAGCCAACTAATAGCTTGGCCAAAAACCAAATTGCCCGCTTCTCCATGATATCATCTATACGGGGGTTATATTGCAAGGTAATTGCTTAGGGAATTAAATCGAATTTCTTTCTTCTTTCCGTAGAAAACAATAAACCCAGAAGGACGAGGAGAGAAGCGGCTTTAGGTAGAGTTCCGTGGAATGATTCAGAGAAGGAAGTATTATTGAAGAAATTCAAAATAGAAATAAAAAATGAAATCGTACCAGGGAAGGCTAAGTGCACGAAAATTAAAGAGGAGCATAACGATATACTGAGCGGCAGGTCATGGACCGATATTAAATTTTTCGTTAAAAATGTGATAACCAGAAATAAGGCAAAGAAAAAGTAGGTAGTAGGATTGTAAATTACATCGGCAAATGACGATTTAAAAACGAAAATCGACGTGTCCGAGCATTTCATCTAAATATTTCAACGATTTTATCGAATTTATCCATTCATTCTTGGAAGCACTGTAGGCATATAGACCAGTTTCTGATATCGAATAAACAATTTTAGATTCAACAGAGGCTTGCATGATACAAGTACCCACCTACCTAATTACATCTGTACCAAAAGCAGATGCTTATTGGACCGTGAGATAGTGACCGATTTTCGAACGTGATTTTACCCAGTTCCTATGCTTTTTGGAGGGTATTATGGTATAAGTACCTACATATTGTGTTATCAATAAATCATCGAGTAGACAGGCATCCCGGGTCTTTCATATTTTGAAAGTTAATTAACATTTGATGTTTTTATTGTGAAGTATAGGTACTTGGACATGCGCCATTTTACTTGGCTTTGGTTGTATGGACTCATGGCAGCCTGGGTGAAATTGAATCGCATCGCATAATTTTCAAACAAATGTAAAATAATTTCAATATATAAAGGACCCAGGATGCCTGTTTATTTTATAATTTATCAATAACAGACTGTATACCTACCATTATACCCTCCAAAAGACATACTAGTACTAGGTAAAATCCAGTCCGAAAATAATACTATCTTCCGGTCTATATACCTATTGTGTTATTTTTTTAACAGTACGTTATTGAGATTAAGCGCCTCGTAAATTCAGATACGGTATACGATAAATGATTACCCTTCACAACTTTTACCACTTTTCGTCAAATACACTTCCTAAATGATACCGTATCGCGATAATCATGTCTAAATACGGTATCATTACGGAAGTGTGTAAGTTATAATGAAAAGTGGTTGAAACGGATTTTGAACGGTAATAATTCATTGATTGGTGTATACGTTATCTGAACTTACAAAGTGCTAAAAGTCACTTATAGCCGCATTAGAGTTGAAGTTGAAAAAGAAATTACCAAACTGCTTAACTTTTTTTAAATGATAATGATAATAGGTACCTACCTACATAGGAAAAATGCAATTAATAATATAATTGTTATTATCAAATTTTTCTTACCTTTACTTAACTTGAAGTTTGAAGGTAGTTTGGAATTTGGAAAAATTGAATGGAAAAGTTAAAAAAAAAAATTGAACACTTACCCTTCTCGAAGATGATGATAAATTTTATAAATTATGTTACAGTTGTCTCTAATAGACGTTTTCTTGATACTATTGGAATTGATGATTTTTTTTTTTGTTAAGAGTTACACTTTTCTGTTCTGTTGAAATAATTCTAGCTACTCACATACGTTTTCTTAATATCAAAATTCATGAACATTTATTTGTGGAAAGAGTTTAAATTTATGTTATGTTCAAATTATCTTTCCTACTGGTCTATTTAACTTGAGACATTCTAATATCTTGAAAACGGCGCTATTTGAAAAAAAAAAGTTTTGATAAGAGTTTTATGGCTTCATGGGGAAAGGATATGTTTGCAAGTGCAAAGTTTGCACTGATTTTTGACAACATTTTCATATACCTAGTTATTTCTAAGTCAACTTTTAACTCAATTTGTGCCAATTTCATGAACTCGGATTACAATCTGATCAAAAATTGTTTCAAGTAAAAGTTTTTTTTTTCGTTCCGTGGAATAAGATACGTTTCCATTGAAAAAAAAAGTTGACCTTGAATTAAGCTTGGAAAAGTTGTTAAAGTCAAAAATCAGTGCAACCATTTTTCCCCATGATACCAAAAAACTTTTTTTTCAATAACGCCCTGTTTTCGAGATATTGGACTGCCTCAAGTTAAATGGTATACCGTATAGTAAAATTGTACTGCAAATTAAAAATAAAAATAATCAGATAGAAATATCTTTAATCAGTTTTGTGCTTTATTTTGCTACAGATTGGTATTTTTAGTAGGTAAGTAAGCAGATTTTCACCTTTGGGTAAATTTAACTGCCAGTAAGTTGCTATGGTCTCAATACTTGCAAAAATTGGAAGCAATAAGCCGACATCTGAAGTTAGCAAGTGTTGAAAAAATCCGCCCCAAAACGCACTCTACACATCTTTGGATAAACGCATTTGATGTGGCATCCTCAGCACACAGTACATAGCAGCAAACAAATTGCGGCACCCTGAACACATTTTCGAATAATTGCATTTGATCCGGCATCCTTAACACAGTATACTGCAAATACATTTCTTGTGGTATCCCACACATCTTTGTATAAAGGCATTTGATGTGGCATCCTTCACACACAGTACACAGCAAATATATTGTGGCACCCTAAACACATTCTTGGATAAATGCATTTGATGTGGCAACGGATGCCACATACTGGCTTGAAGCTTGTAATTTTATTTCCGAAAATACGTTGTGTAAATGAGCGCCACCTAGCGCTTTACATTCGTAATTTTAAGCACAATGCGCACAGGGGTCTGCAACAAATGTGCCACAATTTGGTGCGTGGTCTGGGTGCCACAAACATACGTGGACAAGTATGTGTGTGTGTGTGTGTGTGTGTGAAGTTTTAACCCGTCATTACACGCGCCAATAAACTTACGTCGTTACACGCGTTCGGTCAAATCGACCGACTGCCCAAAAGTTTATATAAATTATTAGCTTTTTTGCGGAGACGATCCCAAACGTATCCTGAACGCTAAGGCATCACCTACGCAGGTTTACTAATCAATAGAGACATGAAACTTTCAAATATTACCTGCGTAAGTCATGCCTTAGCTTTCAGGATACGTTTGGGATCGTTTCCGCGAAAAAAGTGTACAAGCACTATAATTCCTAGAATTCATAATCATTACAAAGGGAATTATATTATGCAGTACAGTTACCGTATTATCGATAGCCGAAAGTACTCCCAATATCAGAAAATGCCAATTTTGAACACAAATGTTTTAGATACTCAGGCTCATGCACCTAGTAAAAAGCACCGACTTCGAAAATAACGAACCATACTTCAACGAAAAACCAAAATTTTTTGGGCCAATGGGTAGTGGAAAACCTGCATCAGGCATTCCTGGATGCACAAAACTGCCACCCCTGTACCAGTGGCGTAATTACAGATTTTATCATTGGTCGGTCTTTTTAACCGCGTGTACTCCCGGGTTAAGAAAATTATTCATCAGTCGACAGTCACTCGCAGCTCACAGTCTGCGTTGAACGGTTGGTTTGTTTGGAATTAAATCAGTTGTGTGTTCTGCTGTATCGATAAATAGTACCTACGCACGTGGCAGTTCATAGTTTGGGTTGCAAAATATTCGTAACGAGATCGCAACCGCTTGAACAGTTAATCTTTCGATTTGCGTTGTCAAAAATTTTCCAAAACCGTGAGTATTATTTAACTTTTTATCAGAGTGGACAACTATTAGTGATTTTTTTAGGAAAAATGTTTACCTGTCAATTCTGCGCCAAGTCGTTCACCAGGAAGGATAACTTGATGACTCATGGAGATTGTAGAGCATCTGCGATCAATGTGGTAGGATTTTTCAATCGGAGGGGGCCCTCCAACGCCATCTTCAAGAAAAACACCTAGCCACGAGAGCCCCCAAACGAAAGGCTGGAGATCCCGCCACCTCCATGACGAAGCAAGCTAGACTTGACCAAGTTGCTGGTAAATTAGATTTATAAATATTTCTCCTAATTAACACTTGCTTTTTCATATTTTTTTGTTTGCTTATTTAATTATTTTCAGGACTTTCGACTTCAGCCACACGTCGGTGTCAGGACTGTGATTTAGAGACCCCGATCAGTCAATGGGCTGGTCATCTTCGTAGTCTCCAACACCGAGGCAACACCTGTGTAGAGCAAGAGGAAGATGTACAACTTGTCAAAACATCTTTCAGGAACCGACTTGCAACATACCGGCTTTCTTCAAAACAAGACCCCTCAAGCTTGAAAAAAATTTTAAAACATTTAAAACAAAAATTTATCAAGCTGGTAGGGGACATGATCAAGTAATATGGTCATTTCAAAGTCGGTGTGGAGCTTTTCGAACGCCTCCTCTTGCAAGCGAAAGAGTTGGAAGAGTTCAAATCCTTCAATAGCAAATTCTGCCTGGTCAGCGATGGTGCAGATCTGGAGGAGTTGTGTAGCCAGTTTTCATCCATCCTGGACAAGAAGAGCATGGAATTCCAGGAAAAAGAAAGTGGTATGTATTGCGCTGCAGCAACTTCTTCATTTAGATGTAGGTATCAATAAGGTCAAAAGCTGTCCTGAACTTCCAGAATCAAGACCAGAAATGTTTCATGTGGTCAGTCTTGGCTCACCTACAGCCAATTTATTGAACTCAGCATGCAAACAGAGTCGCGAACTATTTGCCTTTTGAGAACGAGTTGGACTTCACAGGTATGGAATTTCCGATTAGGCTTAAAGACGTTGGTAAGTTTAAACAACGCAATGATATTTATATCAACGCTTACGGACTAGATGAAGTTTATGAAAATGGTAGAAATATTATTGAAGTTTTTGGTCCCTTATACTTTACTTAGTCTC